AAAATGGAATGGCTTAGCATTGTACGCCAAAAAGAGCCCTGAAAAGGACTCCTGCATGTTGATGCTCTCAAAGGAGACCCAAATACTGTCCCGACCGGTAACGAAGTCGTTATCGGCGAGCCAATGTGCGAACCGTTCGCCGATGTCCGTTAAAGAAGTCTGATCGCCATCTGTCGACTGGTCTACTGTAGACAGACACCGCCCCCTGCAGACATCCAACGACGGTGTCCGCGCCGGTCTTGTGGCTCCTCTCCAGTTGTCCCCCCCAAAGCGGTTGTATTTTTAGAAACGCACCCCGGCAACAACCTTCGTGACCCCGGCGTTCTCCGGCGCTGATTGGCTGGTGGCGGCAAGTGTCAAGGGCGTCGCCAGCTGAATCATGATAATCATGTGACATAAACAACGCCACCAGGTTCTCACGTGTGTTGCCCTCGCCCTCCTCTCGGTTACACTTTTCCGGAGTCTTCTTTTGATCGGATTATTACTTATATCGTATCAGACCGGCTTTTGCATGTGTGATTTTGCGTGTTTTCCTCTATGGCATATGTGATTTCGGTGGAATGTAAGCGGAAAGCCAAGTCGGGGCTGATGATATCTGTCTACAGAGATCCTAGCCAATGCCTGCTTTCGTTGACGGCTTGCGATTGGATGGCTCACGTATGTTACATTCTTGTTCGTTTTCTTCCAACTTTAACATTGTGTGCAGACGCTAATTGGTATTTATTCTGGTCTTTTTGCGAGGACTGCTGCGCCGACTGTCGTTTCAAAGACTTTTGTAGAAAATATCTTTCTTTCCCGTATGCTTGAATCGCAGAAAGTTCGGTTACTCATTAGCCGCACTTGTTACCACAGGCGCATGCGCGAAATTTATTATAATCTGGGAAATCCCCCTAAAATTAGCTATCTGGGTCGGAGAACTCCTGTGTGACCCTTCAAGCCAGGTCTTGTCTCGGGTAGCAACTCGCAGTTGATGGTTATTGACCCGGTATTGATTAGTGATTTGCTGTTGCCGATTTATTTCAGTGAATGTGACCATAGTTCCTCCCGCCTTGTGTGGGACACTTGACCTCCCATGTGGGTATTTGAAACGACATGTTAGTATAGGTGTTGGAAGGGAGGGGGGGGGGGGGGGGGGAGCAGGAAATGTTCCGCACCGGGTACCACCTGATCTTGTTGCGCCACTAAGTATATATAAGATCAGTGGGGCAAGTAATGCTAAACTTATTTTTTTAAAGACCAGTCAGGGCCGCCTTTACCTACCAGGACATTACCTTATACCCATTTAGGCTGGGTCTTTCATGCAGCCAGCGCCCCAAAACAGTGCATCTCGATGCGGTTTCTACCCCAAGATCTTCGGGCGGTAGGTAGCGTCTAGCTACTACGCCACTAGTTACAAGCATTTACTGTATTTATCCTCATTATCGTCAAGTGCCTAGCCGACTACCTTGTGCGATCAGCCCCCTTTTCAGCAGCAGGTTTGGGGTCGTGTGCTGACACCCCTGCATTCCATGACAAAAGGGTTTCCTTTGTCTCTTATTCCACAGATCTATCCAGTGGTCACAAGAAGTGCCTGTTTTCTTCTTTCATAACATTGAAGTCGGAGTCCATCTGGCCGAGAGGCAAGTGCCACAAAGTGATTGGCCTGATCTGTAAAACGGATGTGCACACAAAACTCAAGTTCTGGAATAACAATAACAAAAGTGGACGAACGACCAGAACTTTCCGCCACAGGACGTGATGACGAGTGTAAAGTTGCCGGGTGGCAGCTAAGATGTTCATAGAACATCTAGTGCCAGTCTGTTGTTAGTGTTAGCATCAGCTGGAGATGGGAGGTCTCCGTCATAAAGTGGTCAAGCCGTTTGCCTCGCGCTCTGAAGCTCGTGGGTTCGTTTCTCATTTTATTACTGAGTGCCATTTGACGGAGACCCATAGGGATCGTCGCTAGAGCTACAGTGTTCGTGCTTTGTGTGACGCTCTCGGTAGGTGGGAGAGGGAGACCTAGCCAGACTGGATGAAAGCTTATGTAGTGAAGTCGATCTGCTCGACCCTAACCTGTATGTGTACCTGTATTTGTCTGCAGAGAGATGTAACACGGGTACACAGGAAAGTCTTGTAATTGTGCCTTTTCTGACAAACATTGAAATACTCATGCCGCACTTCGTCAACTCATTCTGTCCTAAGCAACTCAGCATGCGTTTGTTGAGCTCTCTTGCATTGTATACTATTCTCAACCTTGTGTCCTCCATCCAGTAATGACGTTAGCTTGCTCTTTCCTCTGCTGTCATTACATCCTTCTTTTTCGTGGTTTTATTTTATCTTCTTCAGATTCGGACAGTTAATAGTGGAAATAATACATTAGGTCCTTAGAGTTTAGACAACGCATGTCGGTTATTTAATTATATCCAATCCCTAGACCACGTCACGGGATAGTCCAACGTTTTAGAGGGTGGTTAGACTGGGTTTCCCGGCTTTCTTATGCTTCTGACGTTCCCAAAACGTATAGAACTGGCCCGAACCCACCTACGTCCCACGAGAAAGTGCAGCCTAGGTACCATGACTGCATGCAACCTAGGTCCCACAACTGCATGCAGCCTATCTACCACCCCTTGAAATATTTGACTCTACCGTGACCTGTGGATTTTCCCTGTTTGGGGTAGGATAATTTAGAAAGCACCAGCCTCGTCTCGTCGGCTTCGAGGTTTGATATGGAAATCCACAGTACGTTCCATACATACTATAAGTTGGAGGGGTAATGGTTAGGCTTAGTAGTAGTCGCTATTAGTTTAACACTAGCCCTAAACTTCAACACCCCACTCCCACTATGGTACTGTCCAGGGAAACCCCTTGGAATTCCCTACGGCATCTCAGAGCTGACGAGATGGTGTCGTATACAGGTAAAGCACCATACATTTTTAGGATAATGCGATTAAATTAAGAAACATCCAGTAAACGAGTCAAATAGTTAACTGTAAAAGTTAGATTGAGAGAGAGGGAGAGAGACGGTCATCCAAACTAAACACGTCATGGCCGGCGTGGGAAACTCCAGGACACAAAAAGGCGCGCTATCGCCGACAGACGCTAAACTGGGCGGCCGTTGGCCTAGAAACGATCTCTCCTTTCCTGTCTGAAGTTAAAAGTCCAGCGGATCGACCTCATGGCACGTATGGCTCGGTCTCCCTGTCTTTTTCTCTCCGTAGAACAGCTGGTCGCCTGTTGAGAGCTTTGCACAAATTACGAACTCCGAAGCTCCGACGACTACTACCCAGGAATCTCCGTAAAATTTGCGCGCATAAACTGCATGGCCGACGACCTCCATAGCGCGAGGAAAACTGCGTGACTACTTTGCCCCGAGACCCCTGTTGACCCAGAGAGGCGATTCGGTCCTTTCATAATAAGTAACCCCAAACAGAAAGTTCAATATTTCAGGGGGTGGTAGATAGGCTGCATGCAGTCGTGAGAACTAGGTTGCACTCTCTCGTGGCCCGTAGGTGGGTTGGGGTTGGGTCCAGATCTAGATGTTTTCAGATAGTAAATACTAAAAAGCTGGGAAACACAGTCTTACCACCCTATAAAATATTGGACTGTCCCCGTGACGTCATCTGGGGTGACTTATTACAAAAGAACCTGCGATCCCTGACACTCCTATTGAGTCAAGCAATACAACACTTCTAGCTTCTTGCTTCACAAAACATTGTTTTATTATTGACAGAGTGAGCATTGCAGCTAAATAATTAGAAGGGAAAAACATATTAAACAGTAAAATTATGTATGTATGTGTGATTTAGGGAGTCGCCTTGGCAGAGCGGCTAGACGGGCGCCACGGATCGGAAGGTCGTGGGTTCTCTTCTCAAAAATGACCTTGGCTCCCAGGTCGACTCAGCCTTGAGTGGGTACCGGGTGCAGTAAAGGCGATCGGCATAATGCTGACCATATCACCCATCTTGTTACCGATTGCTCTATAAAATATATATCTAGCTCTATATGCCTAAAGGCCTGGAAAAGGGTCCTTTGCTTATGTGATTTAACCCCACCAGGACCGCACAGCGAGCCACTAATACCTAGTGACACAAAGTGCCACCTTGCAGATGACGATCACCCGGGAAGAGGTCCCAGAATGGTTTTTGAAATCAAATGAGAGATTATCCTAGAATCATAGACACACAAACAAGACAGGCCTCCACAACACATAAACTGATTGGGAAACATGAGACAGAAAGAGTCTGTATGTTAGGGACATGTAATGACAAGGAATGGACTGGAGAATTGATGACAACTGTCAAGATAGATGGAAATAGATCAAAGAGATAAATACCTCCCCGTGTGGGTTCCAGGGTCCCACTTTAGGGAAGACAAGAATAGACCCACTGCCTACCCAAAAAGCATCTTGTTAGAGTTGACTAATTTGGAGCTTCCTTCGAAGTAGGAGTGCATCTGCCTGAGAGGTAAGGAACCAACAGTATGTATCAAAATAAAAATGTCAGACCTGTAAAACTGGAGTACATGCAACACTCAAGCTGTGGAACAGGAATAGAGTCCAGAAGTAGACTGAGAACCAGAACTTTCTGTCGGAGGTTATAGCTGGTGAATGTCAAGAAGAAGATAAATACCTGGATGGCTTGGCTACTTGGATTAGGCGAGACAAGAACACTGACCTGACCCGAGATTCTGGTGTTCATGTGCGATGGTGAAATATGCAGCCTATGCTTATGTGACATGACACATGATGAGGATGGATGATGATTTTATGTCAACAAATGTCTGCCTGTAGCCATATGTCTCGACATAGTGATGAATATGTTTTTCTTTGTGTTCTCATGACAAACATTTATGAATGTTTCCTCAGGTCCCTTTGACCATGCGCAGCATTCGGTCTTGTCTTCATGCTTGGTAGCCCCCGGATCTCTCGGGGTGTAGCTGAGATGTCAGACCCCCACCATCTACACCATCACAACACTCATGGCCAGTCACACCAGCAGATAGCAGATCTCATAGCCATGCAGACCAAGATCCCCAACTCGTTTAGGGACTCTGGCCACGGCTCCGCTGAGGAAACTCAGCGTGGACTTGATCAAAACGTACAAACTCATCAATGAGGTGAGCTGGGATCCTGTTTGTCATCATCCAGAACATTTATCATCATCCCATATTAGGTTTATGCAATAAGCTCACTGAAAGTTCCTACAGCCAACTCTTAACTAGTTTATTCAATCAGATAACATCAACTCGACACTGTTATCTTGTATAAAGTTCATGCAATCATCTGACATTAATTTTTAATGAGTCATCTTGTATGAAATTTATCATCTCATATCAGATGCATACAATCATCTCACATTAATTTTATTCAGTCATTTTGTCTTAAATTAATTTTTATCTTATGTCGAATGTACAAAATCATCTGACATTAATTTTATTCAGTTATCTTGTGTTAAATTGTTATACATTTAAAATGTATACAGTCATCTGACATTAATTTTATTCAGTTATATTGTATGAAATCAGTTGTTATCCAATATCAAATGTATATATATACAGTCATCTAACATCAATTTTAATCAGTCATGTTGAATCAAATCCATAAAATCATCTACCATAAATTGTATACAGTGATCTCATATCCAGAATATAAAATTATCGGACATCTATTTTATAGTAATTTCACATCACTTTTGTAGTTTGATGTTAAGACAGTGGAATTTGTAGAGAGACAAAATACCAGATATAGAGAACTAATTTCAGGTGAATGATAGAAGAAGTGTGATTGATGATTTATCTTTTTATTTTATCCTGCATGCCAGGTAAATCACTGCATCCCGGGCGCAATATTTCCTGTCGGTTCTCATTCATGCTGTGGCCATTCTCATGGAGTGGTTCAGGAGTGTTAACATATATGTTTCTTCCCCTTGGCTATCTATACACACCACAAGGAACATGAGCTGCTATTTGTTCAAGGCCTGACAGGAAAGTGCGCAGCTCTCTTTCATAACAGAGGACATTGACCTTTCGTTTTCTCTGTCAACTGCGTGTCTTGTGCAACTTAGTGGTTTGAGAATTGCTGACATTCTGGGGCCAGAGCACAGTGTTGTAATACATACAGTTCTGGCCGCTCACAACACGGAAAATTAAATGTCCTGCATGCCATTCACAACATAGAATATAGAATGCTTACAGCATTGAAAATATTACAACATGACACTCCTAGAACAGCCAGTGGAATCAGCCACGGCATGAATGGAAGCTGACAAAAAAATCTTGCACTTGGCAAGATTTGGGGATGTTTGTGATATGTAAGAGGTTAGTTGCGTATCCTTTACAGGACGTTGCAGAACCAACCCCAGCAGCCCCTGGCTGTTTGTGTGGTTTCTCTAGGCAAATTTATGTCCAGTAGTTTGCCATTGCTTTCTGGACGGTCGGCCCCCTGATACCACTGTCGAAACCAACACAAGGCATATGGCCCGCAGCTGGGATCGAACCCGGTACCCCGGCATTACGAAGCGTTCGCATGACTTAGCCACAAAGCCGACTTGGGATATGTACCCTTTTTAAATTTTTCTGTCAGATGTCTGTCGTCTGCTAATTTTCTAGTGTTTTAACCATCATTTTGTTTACTGTGCGGTTTTGTTTTGATCTTGTGTTCTGTTAATTCTGTACCATCATTTTGCCTTCTTTGCAATGTTTTGTCTACCTTCCTGTAATTCTGCACTGAATGTTCTAAACACAGGTGTACTATGCCAAAAAGAAGAAGCGGGCAGCAGCAGGTGCCGTCCATGGGGAGGACACCAACAACAAGAAAGGCAAGGTGAACCCTCATATCTTTAATGATGGTTACGACGACTCCAACCACGACTACATTGTCAACCCCGGGGAGAAGTGGATGGATCGCTACGAGATTGACTCTCTCATAGGGAAGGGCTCATTTGGCCAGGTAAAGGGTTATTTCAGCTGATTTACGGCTTGTGTTGATATCATGTTTGTTTGCAGAGGTAACCCAGTACAGCAAAGGAAATAGTTCCAGAGTCAATTTCAGTCTGGGTTGGTTGTACATCTCATACAAAGCTTACCTCATTGATTGTATCTGTAATTATTCTTGTCCTCCTCCTCATCCTTCTTCTTCTTCTTCTCCTCCTGCTCCTCCTCTTCTTCTTCCTTCTCATCTTTTCTCCTTTCTTGATTTTTCTTCTTCTTCCCCATCCAAGTTCTGTTGAGGTTCACTGCTGCAGATATCACACATCTCCATTCATCTTTCTAGTGTGCCTTTTGACTGTATAGGGCACAGACATTGTACAACTTGTGTTGCTGTTTTCTCTCATACAGAATCCTTGTGTAAGATTGTGAGTTTGGAAGTCATTTACATTATAGCTCTGCCTGCCTACTTGTCTGTCTGTCTGCCTCTCTCTCTCTCCCTCTCTCTCTCTCTCTCTCTCCCTCTCTCTCTCTCTCTCTCTCTCCCTCCATTCCTCAGTTACCTCAACCCTCTCCTTATCGTGTCTCTTCTCTCACTCCTACTCTGGTTTCCCCAAATACTGTTTTATATAAAGAAGTATGTATAAATGTTATGGTTAGTTATTTATCAGTAAATGTGTACTGGCAAGATAGTTATTGTTTTCGTCAATCGATATGTTCATGCCAGATAGTTATTGTTTTCATCAGTTAATGTGTATCCTGGCCAGGTGGTGAAAGCGTTTGATCACGCGGACCAGGAGCATGTGGCCATAAAAATCATCAAGAACAAGAAACCGTTCCTGAACCAGGCTCAGATCGAGGTCAGGCTGCTGGAACTGATGAACTCCAACGATAAAGAGAACAAATATTATATAGGTAAGTGGAATAACAATAAAGAGAACAAATATTATATAGGTAAGTGGAATAACAATAAAGAGAACAAATATTATATAGGTAAGTGGAATAACAATAAAGAGAACAAATATTATATAGGTAAGTGGAATAACAATAAAGAGAACAAATATTATATAGGTAAGTGGGATAACAATAAAGAGAACAAATATTATATAGGTAAGTGGAACAACAATAAAGAGAACAAATTATATATTGGTCAGATACATGCACAAGTTGCTTTCAAACAGTTGCTACACACATTTGCACACCATGGTTAGAAAAGGAAAGACTTAGAGATGTGTAGTGGTGACTCATGCCGTAACCCCCTGACCTCTGTCACTGAGGCTTACAGGAATATTTTTACATCAGCTGGCTTAGCTTTACCAGACCTGAGGCCCTGAACCTAACTGTCCCCCATACCTGGGCTCTTGTGCATTAACGTGAAAAAAAACCAACAAGATATACACAAATATTAGTTACATGCAAACAAGTGGTTACATCCAAATAAGATTAAATGTGCAGAGATTGAAGAAAATAAGTTTACCTTTCATCATTGAAATTCAGATCTGAAATTTGGTGATACAAACTTCAACGTCCAGCCTTCATTACCATTTAGACCTCCCTCATCATCACCACCTAGATCTCCCTCATCATCACCACCTAATCTCCCTCATCATCACTACCTAGATCTCCCTCATCATCACCACCTAGATCTCCCTCATCATCACCACCTAGATCTCCCTCATCAGCTGTTTGAGGGATACCCCCCCCCAAACTTCTCTTACTATCGATCTAGCTGTAGATCTATAAGGTCACAAGATTCTCCTCATCATTGGAGCTCCCACTGTGTCACTTGAAACTGGAAACATATTCTTGTTAAAATTCTGACTCCTCAGAGACTGAATCAACCAAAGTATCAATCACCTGTTGGACTTCAAAAAACCTAGAGCTACTTCGTTTTTCTGTTAAAGAGCTTGGTTCATTAGCCGCCTCATTGCAATTTTTTTTTTTACGTTGAACCGCACAAAGTCAATCCAAACACTTGGCAGACATTTGCAATGACTAGCCATGAGGTTTGACCACAATTGGTTGGTTATTTTTAGTTTGTGACCCATTTTTTTCACGAAGTAAGTAAAGTACCAAAAATTATGTACAGCGGTTTAGCAGCAGATTAGAAAATTACCAGAAAAGTGGTACAGCGGCCTGGTAGAATTAAAGCCATTGGGGTCAAAAGGAATCCCCTAAATACTATTTTTAGTTACTATATTCATATCCAGGTGCGCACAAACAGGGAAATGTAACTACCCTTTTCAAGAGCAGATCACTGCAGACATGGTCATATATGGGCATTTACAGGTTTGTGTCAAAGCTTGAAGTGACTAGAAATAGTCTTCCTGTGGTGACAAGGTTAAACATCTTAACAATAACAACATGTTTTCTGCTTTGTGCGTTAATTTGATTCCGCTGCTGTTACTCTGTTTCAGTTCGATTGAAGAGAAACTTCATGTTTCGCAACCATCTGTGCCTTGTCTTTGAGCTGCTCTCGTACAACCTCTATGACCTGCTGCGCAACACAAACTTCCGAGGGGTCTCGCTGAACTTGACACGCAAGTTTGCACAGCAGTTGTGCACAGCTCTGCTGTTTCTTGCCACACCGGAACTGAATATTATCCACTGTGACCTGAAGCCAGAGAATATTTTACTGTGTAATCCAAAACGCAGTGCTATCAAAATTGTTGACTTTGGCAGTTCCTGCCAGATAGGACAGCGAGTAAGTATATGATTTGTTCTGTCTTGTATGGATAGCAGCTAAAGATGATGTGTTAGTTCTTGTCTGAAAGGACAGGGTATTGCCCCTGCCAGATAAGACAGCAATTCAGATTTTGACTTATATCTTGTAGGTATAACAAGTGAAGATAATCATTTGTATGTTCTTGTCTTAAAGTACAGTGTCTTATCCCTGTCAGATAGGACAGTGTCTTGTCCCTGTCAGATAGGACAGTGTCTTGTCCCTGGCAGATAGTACAGTGTGTTGTCCCTGTCAGATAGGACAGTGTCTTGTCCCTGTCAGATAGGACAGTGTATTGTCCCTGTCAGATAGGACAGTGTATTGTCCCTGTCAGATAGGTCATTGTCTTGTCCCTGTCCGATAGTACAGTATGGCACTTAAAGTGCAAAGTGGTCAACATCACGCCAGCCGCCTTTACCTCCCAGGACTTGATCTACTACCCATTTAAGGTCGGGTCAATGGGGGGGGGGGGGGGGCAGTCCAGGATTGAAAAATGCAAACTGGCTCCATGTGGATTTGAATCCATGACCTTCAGAACTGCAGTGAGCATCTAGCCACTACACCACAGTATCTCTCGGAAATGGCACTTGATTATAAAAGATGAGGCTGGTCACCAGACTGTTGGTGTTGGCACTTCTGCTCGGCTGCCTTGTGCGTTGAATGCCTGTGTATGCTGTTGGCTTTGTGGCAGCAGTCTGTTCATTTGTGAGAAGTGACTGCGATGAATTTTCTGTGTGGTATTTGCTGGCACTGAAATGTAGCAATAATTGGGTGATCTGTTTACCATGAAGTTTGAACTGTGAACTAAGTCACTTGTTATTGATGTCATGTGTTCATTAGTTGGTACAGTGGTTTTCTTGTGTTCATTAGTTGGTACAGTGGTTGTCATGTGTTCATTAGTTGGTACAGTGGATGTCATATGTTCTTTAGTTGGTACAGTGGTTGTCATATGTTCATTAGTTGGTACAGTGGTTGTCTTGTGTTCATTAGTTGGTACAGTGGTTGTCTTGTGTTCATTAGTTGGTACAGTGGTTGTCATATGTTCATTAGTTGGTACAGTGGTTGTCTTGTGTTCATTAGTTGGTACAGTTAGTGTGTTCATTACAGTTGTCATTAGTTGGTACAGTTGTTGTCATGTGTTCATTAGTTGGTACAGTGGTTGTCTTGTGTTCATTAGTTGGTACAGTGGTTGTCATGTATTCATTAGTTGATACAGTGGTTGTCATGTGTTCGTTAGTTGGTACAGTGGTTGTCTTGTGTTCATTAGTTGGTACAGTGGATGATGTGTGTTCATTAGTTGGTACAGTGGTTGTCTTGTGTTCATTAGTTGGTACAGTGGTTGTCTTGTGTTCAATAGTTGGTACAGTGGATATGAGTTCATTAGTTGGTACAGTCAATGATATGTGTTCATTAGTTGGTACAGTGGTTGTCATGTGTTCAATAGTTGGTACAGTGGTTGTCTTGTGTTCATTAGTTGGTACAGTGGTTGTCATGTGTTCATTGGTTGGTACAGTGGTTGTCTTGTCTTCATTAGTTGGTACAGTGGTTGTCATGTGTTTATTGGTTGGTACAGTGGTTGTCTTGTGTTCTTAGTTGGTACAGTGGTTGTCTTGTGTTCATTAGTTGGTACAGTGGTTGTCTTGTATATGAGTGATCATGTGGGTGTGTGTTTCTTCCTCAGATCTACCAGTACATCCAGTCTCGCTTCTACCGGTCTCCGGAAGTGCTCTTGGGGAATTGCCTATGATCTGGCCATCGACATGTGGAGCCTGGGCTGTATCCTGGTGGAGATGCACACAGGGGAGCCTCTCTTTGCTGGGTCCAACGAGGTATCAGCACTGTCATTATCACTGTCGTCATCATCATGTGTCAATATCACTGTCATCATCAGTGTCATTGTCACTGTCATCTTTGTTTTTTTTTATTGTTCTTACTTTGATATCATCATCCACATGTGGGTTTGGATCGGAGTAGACTGCTCCTTGATAAGTATGTCATAACAGAAAAAGGGAACACTACTTATGGATTTGCAGAAAGTGGATCATTTGGACATATAACGTGCAGATGATGCAGCCTAGCTGTAACCCACAACACATTTTATGTCCTTTTAAGGCTGAATGCAAAAGCAGAAGATATCGCCATCATAACCGCTGTCATTGTTATCAGTATTATCACTGTCATTGTCGTCAGCATCGTCATTGTCATCAGCATTGTCATTGTCGTCAGCATTATCACTGTCATTGTTGTAACATTATCACTGTTGTAAACACTGACATATCCCCACCACTATCATCAATCCTGTCATTCCCACCACTGCCGTCACCCCTGTCATTCCCACCACTGCCTTCATCCCTGTCATTCCCACCACTGCCGTCATCCCTGTCATTCCCACCACTATCATCATCCCTGTCATTCCCACTACTGTCGTCACCACCACTTGCATCCTCATCACTTGTATCATCATCACCACTTGCTGCCAGCCGTCTACAGAAATCTGATTGTTGTTTGTTGCCAGTTTGACCAAATGATGAAGATTGTGGAAGTACTGGGCATGCCACCCAAACACTTGCTGGACCAGGCCCAGAAGACCCGCAAGTACTTTGATCAGTTGCCAGATGGGACCTACATCCCTCGCAAGTCTAAAGACAACAAAAAGGTACTGAAAACCTTGGCTTTCTGCGGCTACACTTGTTCTTTTTTAGGGGGGATCAGTTAATGTCTTCTTGTTGTTACAGTAGATCCATTAGTTGAATTACTGTCTTCTTGTTGTTACAGTAGATCCATTAGCTGAATTACTGTCTTGTTGTTGTTACAGTAGATCCATTAGCTGAATTAATGTCTTCTTGTTGTTACAGTAGATCCATTAGCTGAATTAATGTCTTCTTGTTGTTACAGTAGATCCATTAGCTGAATTAATGTCTTCTTGTTGTTACAGTAGATCCATTAGCTGAATTAATGTCTTCTTGTTGTTACAGTAGATCCATTAGCCTGAATTAATGTCTTCTTGTTGTTACAGTAGATCCATTAGCTGAATTAATGTCTTCTTGTTGTTACAGTAGATCCATTAGCCTGAATTAATGTCTTCTTGTTGTTACAGTAGATCCATTAGCCTGAATTAATGTCTTCTTGTTGTTACAGTAGATCCATTAGCTGAGTTAATGTCTTCTTGTTGTTGTTGTTACTGAGTTAATGTCTCCTTGTTGTTACAGTAAATGCATTAGCTGAGTTAATGTCTCCTTGTTGTTACAGTAGATCCATTAGCTGAATTACTGTCTTCTTGTTGTTACAGTGGATCCATTAGCTGAATTAATGTCTCCTTATTGTTACAGTAGATCCATTAGCTGAATTAATGTCTCCTTATTGTTACAGTAGATCCATTAGCTGAATTAATGTCTCCTTGTTGTTACAGTATATCTGTTAGTTGAATTAATGTCCTGTAATTAGGGCTTGCCGACTGGTTAAAATCCTGTCCTGTTGTTATAGTTAGTTAGCCAAAGTCATGTCCTGTTGTTACAGTTTACTTGCTAAAGTCATTTCCTGTTGTTACAGAGTACCAGGTAAATTAATTTACTGTTGTTTCAGTTAGCACTCAGAAGTCATGTTCTTTTGTTAAAGAGTGCCTGCTAAAGTTAATTCCTGTTGTTACAATTAGTTATCAAAAGTCATGTCCTGTTGTCACAGTGTGTGTGTATGTTAAAGTTATGTCCTGTTGTTACAGTTAGTTTTCAAAAGTCGAGTCCTATTGTTACAGTTAGTTATCAATAGTCAACTCCTGTTGTTACAGTGTGTGTAAGTTAAAGTCATGTCCTGTTACAAAGTACCAGCTGAAGTGATGTTCTGTTGTTACAATATTTGTGTATAAGTTAAAGTGATGTACTTTGTTACAATATGTGTGTGTAAGTTAAAGTGATGTACTGTTGTTACAATATGTGTGTAAGTTAAAGTGATGTACTGTTGTTACAATATGTGTGTAAGTTAAAGTGATGTACTGTTGTTACAATATGTGTGTAAGTTAAAGTGATGTACTGTTGTTACAATATGTGTGTATAAGTTAAAGTGATGTACTGTTGTTACAATATGTGTGTAAGTTAAAGTGATGTACTGTTGTTACAATATGTGTGTAAGTTAAAGTGATGTACTGTTGTTACAATATTTGTGTGTAAGTTAAAGTGATGTACTGTTGTTACAATATGTGTGTGTAAGTTAAAGTGATGTACTGTTACAATATTTGTGTATAAGTTAAAGTGATGTACTGTTGTTACAATATGTGTGTGTAAGTTAAAGTGATGTACTGTTGTTACAATATGTGTGTAAGTTAAAGTGATGTACTGTTGTTACAATATGTGTGTGTAAGTTAAAGTGATCTCCTGTTGTTACAATGTGTATGTAAGTTAAAGTGATGTCCTGTTGTTTCAGTGCAAGCCTCCACACTCGAGAAAACTTCACGACGTCCTTGGTGCTGAAAGTGGTGGTCCTGGGGGTCGGAGGACAGGTGAGGCGGGACACGGAGTCCCGGACTACCTCAAGTTCAAGGATCTTATCCTACGGATGCTGGATTATGATCCCAAAACACGGATTACCCCTTACTATGCCCTGCAGCACAATTTTTTCAAGAAGACTTCAGATGAAAGTACAAACACCAGCAGCAGTACCTCGACCAGTCCCGCCATGGACACTAGCGCTGGCAGCCCTGCAGGTAAGACAAGTGTTCAGTATTCTTATGTTCATCAGGTGTCTTCTTTGATGATCAAGGTATTTTAGCAGCTATTGGAGTTCTGATTCTTCTTCTTCTTCTTCACGTTCATTGTCTGTAAATTCTGGCAGAAAGTCCTGGCTGTTCATTTACTTCTGGACTTCATGATCTTATTCCAGATCTTTAGTTTTGTTCATCCATTTTACAGATCTGGCTTACTTGTATTAAGAGTGTCGGTTCCTCGTTAAGGTTATGTGTTTTTGTCTTGTGGAGGGGAGGAAGAACATTCATATCTTCAAAATCCTTAGTGACAGCACTAGCTGTGTGGTCTGAGATCCTCAGACTCATATGGACACACACTCACACACACAACACACACACACACACACCCACACCATCCCCAAAACTTTCTTCCTGCTGTACAGAAATGTTAAGTGCGGTCAGTAATGACAGTTAACTTTGTTGTCAGCTAGGGAAGTTACCTGTGCTGACTATTCTGTGCAGACGATTCTGTGCCGACTATTCTGTGCAGACTATTCTGTGCCGACTATTCTGTGCAGACTATTCTGTGCCGGCTATTCTGGTAATTCTCCAGCTATCTTGTTATTCTTTGAGGCGGTGTTTACATGACTTCCAGTTGTATCACCTGGTCCCACAAATATAAACTGACAATCCTCTGTATTATAGTGAGGTGTGAAAGAGAAAGCCAGGCGTGCAAGATAAAGAGATGTTCAAGACAGTGAAGATAGTAAGAAATGTAGGATAGCCAGGCGTGCAAGATAGGGAGATGTTCAAGACAGTCCCACAAATATAAACTGACAAGATAGTAAGAAATGTAGGATAGCCAGGCGTGCAAGATAGGGAGATGTTCAAGACAGTGAAGATAGTAAGAAATGCAGGATAGCCAGGCGTGCAAGATAGGGAGATGTTCAAGACAGTGAAGATAGTAAGAAATGTAGGATAGCCAGGCGTGCAAGATAGGGAGATGTTCAAGACAGTGAAGATAGTAAGAAATGTAGGATAGCCAGGCGTGCAAGATAGGGAGATGTTCAAGATGGTGAAGCGTGCAAGGTAGTCAGATGTGCAAGATAATGAAGCATGTAAGATAGTGAGATGAGCTAGATGGTGAGATGTGCAAGATGGTGAGATGTGCAAGATAGTGAGATGTGCAAGATGGTAAGATGTGCAAGATGGTGAGATGTGCAAGATGGTGAGATGTGCAAGATAGTGAGATGAGCAAGATAGTGAGGTGAGCAACATGGTAAAGCGTTCAAGATATTGAGATGTGCAAGATGGTGAAGCGTGCAAGATAGTGAGATGTGCAAGATGGTGAGATGTGCAAGATAGTGAGATGTGCAAGATGGTGAGATGAGCAAGATGGTGAGATGTGCAAGATGGTGAGATGTGCAAGATGGTGAGATGTGCAAGATGGTGAGATGTGCAAGATGGTGAGATGTGCAAGATGGTGAGATGTGCAAGATAGTGAGATGAGCAAGATAGTCAGATGAGCAAGATAGTGAAGCGTTCAAGATATTGAGATGTGCAAGATGGTGAAGCATTCCGGACAGTGAGATGTGCAAGATGGTGAAGCGTGCAAGCAAGATGGTGAGATGTGCAGGATGGTGAGATGTGCAGGATGGTGAGATGTGCAGGATGGTGAGATGTGCAAGATGTGCAAGATGGTAAGATGCGCAAGATGGTGATATGTGCAAGATGGTGAGATGTGCAAGATGGTGAGATGTGCAAGATGGTGAGATGTGCAAGGTAGTGAGATGAGCAAGATGGTGAAGCATTCAAGATATTGAGATGTGCAAGATGGTGAAGCATTCCGAATAGTGAGATGTGCAAGATGGTGAAGATTGCAAGATAGTGAGATGTGCAAGATGGTGAGATGTGCAAGATGGTGAGATGTGCAAGATGGTGAGATGTGCAAGATGGTGAAGCGTGCAAGATGGTGAGATGTGCAAGATGGTGAGATGTGCAAGATGGTGAAGGGTGCAAGATAGTGAGATGTGCAAGATGATGAGATGTGAAGATGCAAGATGGTGAGATGGTGAGATGTGCAAGATAGTGAGATGTGCAAGATGGTGAGATGTGCAAGATGGTGAGATGTGCAAGATGGTGAGATGTGCAAGATGGTGAGATGTGCAAGATGGTGAGATGTGCAAGATGGTGAGATGTGCAAGATGGTGAAGCGTGCAAGATGGTGAAGCGTGCAAGATAGTGGAGCATGCATTATAATAAGATGTGCTGTTTTGTGATTGTTATACCAGGCCGTGTGGTGTAGAATGTGAAAAAATGTGAAAATATCAAACTGTGGCATGTGTGCGTAAGAGATGTGATTGCTTGTATTACATTCTGAAATGTCAAACATCTGACAGCTGTCTGACACATTGTTTGATTGCAGGGGCGACGCCGGGGTCACCGAAGCCCCACAATTCATTGTAGCCGGTATATAAGTGTGTTAAACAGCTGAACAGCGTGTTCCGATGGTATCTGGTTCCCAGCATTGTTGATTCTTGTTGTTGGTTTACTTATTTGTTACAACCAGTTTTGTGCGGGCAAAATTGTATACCAAATTTATCATTGCAGTCCTTTTGTAGACTTATTGATATATCATACCCTAGAAGATAAGAAGAGGACAGATAAGAGCAATATGTGGGAAGCCCCCCCTCCATTTCTTCCTCAGAAAAAAGAAAAAAGCAGTAATAAACCAACACAGAACTGGTGTAATTACCCACGACAGGGCTATTCAAGTTTACTCGTGGGCCAGAATATTGAAAATGTGGTCGTCGCAGGCCAGTGGGCCGAGCCCAAGTATACATTACAGTTGAGAAAATTTTCAGTGTCTAAATTTAATACACTCTAAATCTGTTATGCCAAAGGCTTAGCCTTTGTCAGTATAAATGGAACAGGGTTGTAAACCATTATAACGTAAAGTGAACTACAATCTTTCGTAATGATTAATTAATGGTCACTTTTAATTGAAAAACACGTATTTCTAAGTTGCGGTTGGATTATAAACAAATGTTAGCAATGTCACGTCAATTGCATTGTCATATTAATAATAATAACAACTGTCCACTGTTAGTTTAATATGGATTTGTGCACAAGAAACCTAATATCCACGAAACATACAAAGAAGCCACTTTAGATTTTTTTTCTTTTTTTTACAAGCTTGTACAAGAATTCTGCTGCTTTGCTGATAAGCAGCAATCAACGACTGAATCTTTGATATCTCAGTATTGAAACCTTCTGGATATGATTTTCCAAAATCTGCATGTTTTATTGTAAAGTGCCGCTTCATGCTGTACTTTACTGCCAACACTCATTCATTGCACAACAAGCACACTGGTTTCGAATAAGGCTAGTTGGTGATATAAATAAATATTCAGTATCCAGTTATTGTTAAATGCACGATTTTCACATTCCCACTTGCTCTCTTATTATTACTAGCTGAGGCATCAAGTATTTACCTAAATTATTAAAATTTAGATAACTTAAAACACTGTTACTGATTCGGTTTGTTAGTACACAATCGTGTCCGGCAATCTATGGTCTGGTTGTGATTTCTGTGTAACTGGACGTTCACAAAAATCTAAATATGATCTGATAACAAGATTACTAGCAGGTGTTCCGCTAATATCCTGCGGCACCCAATGTAATTAGTTTTATGCATACCAGAGTCACCATTAAGGAGAGTTTCTTACTAATCTATGCTCGAACTGTCAGGACTATGCTGCTGTTTTTTTATACCCTCCTGTCCAATAAATATCTCACCTTTATTGACTGTCCAGTGCAGCGGTTGCTTTCCTACCCGTTACTTGATTCTTTCCAGCCTGTCTTATTACCTGTGGCTGCCAACAGAACTAATGACATTTTCTGTTCCTATGTTGGTTTCTTTGTGTGACTGCATTTAAAGATTCCTGAAAAACATTTTCTGTTGACACATTCTACACAGCTGGTTTTTACAGACTTTACAGAAACATGGTGTAATAAAATTTTTTTTTTTTAAATCACTATATTTAACTTTTTTGACAATAATTGGTGGGTCTCTGCGGGCCAGATTGGGCCTGCAAGCTGCCAGTTGAATAGCCCTGAACTGCTACATTGTGGGGAATATACGGACCCAAGTCCCTGCCTGTGCTCCTGGGTCCCATTGTGTCAGGACAATAGACAAGACCCACTGTTCCCATTATAAGCATGTTGTAAAAGTCAACTAATCAAGGGTATTTCCTTTGAGGTTGGAGTACCTCTCAGAAGCCAACAGTCTGCACACTTGAAGCCATGTCTTCTGTCAAATGGATGCCTTGGTAAAACTCTAGTTCTAGAAAGTAAAAAGTCAAGGACCCTTTTCCGCATCGTTAGGCATATAGGGCTAGACCTATATTATTTAGACCAATCAGCACAAAATGGGTGATGTGGTCAGCATCATGCCAGTCGCCTTTACTTCCCAGGACTGCACCCGGTACCCACTCAAGGATGGGTCGACCTGGAAGCCATGGTCATTTTTAAGTCCGGCTCTACCAGGGAGCGAACCCATGACCTTCCGATCCTAGGTGAGTGTCTAGCCGCTCCGCCATGGCAACTCCCTCTACTTCTAGAACTAGACTTAAATCCAAATATGGACGAAAAACTGGAACTTTCTGCCGGCATTTACAGTCAGTGAATGCCAAGAAGGAGAAGATCCAGTTTATGCACGCGATCACAACCATGCCATGATGTTAAGAGTTAGTGATCTTTTCCCCTTCAGCGATGACAGTTGTCTGCCCCTGCCATGATGTTAAGAGTTAGTGATCTTTTCTCCTTCAGCGATGACAGTTGTCTGCCCCTGCCATGATGTTAAGAGTTAGTGATCTTTTCCCCTTCAGCGATGACAGTTGTCTGCCCCTGCCATGATTTGCCTGTTGGCTGTTAATGTTTGCTGTTGGGTTACGTTCATGTCTGTTGCTTCCATTATATTGGTAGTTCTTTATTTTGCCTGTTTCATTATTGGTTTGATCCGTACGTTCCTTTCTGCGACTTGAGCAGATCTGATTTACCTCATAGTGTTGACAGTTTAAAGAGAATGACCCACTGTCCCTCTAACAAACATGATGCAAAGGTCGAGTAACTAGGGGTGTTTCCTTTGAAGTAGGAGTGCATCAGCTTGAGAGATGGGAAACCAGCAATCTGCATATAAATACGTCAGGTCTGTAAAACAGATATGCACACATAAATCAAGTTCTGGAACAAGACTCAAGTTCACAAGTGGACAAATAGCCAGAACTGCCTAATAATTTACTAAGTGAATGCAAAGAATAAAAAGAATGTCTGTGAATTTTATTTTTTGGTTTTTTTGTGTGTGTTTTTCTGTGGTTGGGCACAAAGGACATTTGTCGTATACTTCTAGGATCTGTTTTTGATATGAATGTAATGTTAGATTGCTTGCTTGAAAAAGTCTAATATCTTTGATTGTGTTTGTGATGTCCCCAGTTGGCGGTCATTTGAGTGGACGAGCACCGTCAGATCCTAGTCACCAGTACCACAACCACTTACACGCTCACACCCAGCTGATCTCTGGTGGTTCTGCTGCCGCTGTTCAAGGGCTGCACCGCCAGCAACTGCTGCTGCGCGAGGAGGATGTTGGGCCTGTGTCTTCAAACTTCTCCTCCATGGATTGTGAGAGTCCTTCGTCGGTGGGCCTGGGTCAGTCTCGGCCACCTCCAGCTCACCAGTCGCACCGTGGCGGCGGCAACAGAAGCTCACAGCACGTAGTGTCAGTTGAGCAGCACCGGGCTCAGCATCACCATCAGCAGCAGCAGCATTATCAACCGCAGCTGCAGCACAATCACATCAGTCAGCAGAACAGTTGGGCTGGGGTTGACTCAGTCATGTCCCGGCATGGGTCCAGCGACCCGCAGCAGATCAGTTTGTCATCAGGCACAGGCATGTTGATGGGAAGTGTCGTGTTCAGCCAGCCATCCAGACATTCGTACATGAGCCGCAGTTCTCAGCCATCATCATCATCATCCACTTCCCTCCACCATGCGGGAATGACATCCCCTCCATCCTCCGCTGTGATAATTGGTGGATCTGTGTACGATACTTCAGCTGTCCCGTTATCCTTACAGCGGCCAGTGACACACTATGACCCACAAGTATTATTATCCTCCTCCTCATCCTCGTTCTCGTCTTCCAGTTTACCCGTAGACTTGTCAGGCCTGACGTCACTTCACAATGGCTCCACACAAAGCCTAGTCACCTTTGGTAACCTGCCGCAACATCCTCGGGTCCTGCGGGCAGTCCCACAGCAACACACAGTCATCACCAGCCCAACCATGCTGATTGGCTCGACCTCGGCTGTTGCTCTCTCCCAGACTGACCTCATCTCGACCAGTGGTCATCCTTTTGGTGTGACTTTATCAGGATACCCTGCTGGTCATTATGCATGTCCCCAACAGAACTGGTCACAGCCCCATGTGAACTCACACTACCCCTTCACCATCGCTGCATCGGCCACACCCGTGTCTCAGGCTTCAACCAGTCTCCAGAAAGCTCACAGTGCCTCAGAGAGAGGGGATGATTCTCCCATGGTTGGAGTCTGTATACAACAGAGTCCTGTAGCAAGTCATTGACTATTCCCTCACTAAGCCAATGATTGGTTTTATAAACTCACCACAGACCTGTTTCTACAGGGGACATGCTCACTGCTCGTATATAGAGATGACATCCAGAGCTATACACACAGCTGCTGGTGATTGTCTTGTCTAGGTACCACCACCTCAGACCGCACTGACTTAACAAAGTCTCCACCTCAGGAATGTAGCTGAAGCAACAAATGCCGGCACAAGTTGGATGTGTCGGCCGGAAGACACAAATATTGCGGACATATTGCTAATGGGCACAACAAATGTACATCTTTGCATGAATGCAGAAGAAGAAGAAAAAAATCTCAGCGGTCCACAGAGTCTAGATCCTGGCTTGCTGAGATCATGCTGGCTGCCAGATTTCTCTAAGTCTTCAGACAAAACTAAACCCAGCAAGACATGTAAGCTCTTGGTTTGGCCGAAATTGCAGAAAAATAAAAGCTTCATTCTGTGATTTTTCTTTAGAATATGCCGAGCCTGGCAATCTGGCAATGATGACAGTATATTTAAAATGTATGTGGAACTGTTGTGAATACCCGATGGGTGAAACTGCTATCCCGAGGACATAACCCTGTAACAGATGTGTCTAAAGAATCTATGCCAGTTTGGATAGTGATGGATGTGACAGCCGTTTTAGCAGTAGCTGTAATTTTGTGACAAGCATTCATTGTACATCTCAGACATGGGGCTGCAGGAAGCAATTGTGTGTTTTTTGGGGGGTGCTGTCATACACAGACCTGAAAATGCCTTGCAAGGAGCAACACACACAGATATCATAAATGTGTTTGGACGTTGACAAGAAGATATTACCATGTTTTTATCTAGATTTAGCGAAAAGCCAGGTTCATACCGTTTTGGTTTAAACTTTTTCATCCCCAGAAATTTAAAGGGGGAAATAAAAATTTTTTTAAATCATGAGTGTATTTCTGTCGGAGGCTAGGTACACTGGAATTACAATGCTTGAGCCAGGTATTTTTAGTTATTGTGATCAAACATATAGTTAGAAAATACACAGCGTGATGACTGGGGTTCAGTAAGGCAAGTGGGCTACACGTCATATGTTGCTTGGAACTAAAAGAGTTGAGAAGGTAAATCTGGCATGAGATATTTTTGGAAATGAGAAATTTTTATGTAGTATGGTATGACTGGCCGACCTGGTATCTGGGGGTTGTTGTATAGTCTCCCTTGTACGTGGCGTCAGTGGCCAGCTGCACGCATGTTATGTGGGCCAGCGAATGCCTAATTAGGCGAGACTTGTAGAGCCCCCCCACCCCCTCCCATATTTTCGAAGGTCTGCTGTGGGCACCATACGTTTTAGTAGCCATATTTGACAAATGTATAATTTTAAAATAACGGAAGCGCAGAAAGGATTGCATTTTAACCTTAAGTTTTTTTTAAACATTTTTTTTCCTTTTTGAATGAAGTCATAGATATTTGTTCTGCTGACTGCGGGGAGTCTTTGGTTGACCAGATTGCGAAAGACTGATCTATGCTATTTGTACGTGACAGCACTAGACATACAAAACGGTCCTTGTTGCGCTTGTAGGTGGTATCACCCACCGACCAGATACGTGATCTGTCATCGTTACTGTTGTTTCTGTTATGTATTAACTATGTCTAATTTCCTACGATGTGACTCATACTTGTGACATGTTGCAATCATTTTCTACCTTTCATCTTGCAATGTTTTAATGTCTGTTTCAGTAGATATTTTTGTTTTTGTTTTGTTTTGTTTTTTAAGTTTGACAATTTTGGTTTATAAAAGATCTTGAGAATTAGTCGTCTTTCAAGATTTCGAGGGGAAGCCAGCGAAACTAGAAGATGTGGAGTTTGTGACTGTATCAGTCATGTTTTGCAGTCGTTATCAGTCATGTTGTAGGGAGTTGTCTTGCTGTTCAGATGCCAGTTGTAGTTGTTATTTAATGAGCCGCCCGGCTGGCTAGCGTAGTTGGCTAAACCTGACTTCGCGGCAACCGTGTGACGAACTCCTTGTGGTCCGGTTTCACGCCAGGGGGTAGGCAGAGAAGCCACATTTCTCCCAGATTTACGGTATCTATCATGGAATCAAGGCCGAGTGGTTGCGATATCCGTAGTACCGAGCCTAGGGGTTAACAACTCATGGCTTCTGAATACTTGAAAAAAAAAGATTTGTCAGCTGCATTTGTTGCCCCTTTGTGGGCCGCCGCAGTGTAGCGGCAAGATGCTCGCCTACAGGTCTGGAGGTCATGAGTTCAACCCTGAACAGAGCCAGACTTTTTTCATAAAGGACTTGGCTGCCGTGTTGACTCAGCCTTAAATAAGGTACGAGGTAAAGTCCTGGGAAGTAAAGGTGGCCGGCATGATGTTGACCACATCACCCACAGAGTGCCGATTGGTCTGTGGAAGTTCGGTCTGGTCCTGTGTACTCAGAACACCTAAAAATCATAGGCAGAGAGCCTTCTGTTGCAGTGACATAAGAGAGTGGAAATGGTTGACCAGTGGGGATACTCATTCTTAGAAGAAGAAGATGCATGCCTCTGACTCCATGGGTTAGCTGTCTATAAACCTCTTGTCTGTAAACCTCTTGTCTGTACAAGTGGCCACATTTAGCAACTGTATCAGTGTATTTTCCATCGTTGTGATACGGGTAAACGTCAAGATTTGACACATGTTGATTAGCAATGCTGTTGTTGTTGTTGTTGTTGTTGCTGTTGCTGCAGATATGTTTGCCGGCAGCATCTTGCTGTGTCAGTGGTGCTGCCGGCCAGACTGTTGTTGATTTGCTGCAACTGTTGCAGGTACATTCTGTGATGAGAATTTCTGTGAAGGTCCGCTGTGAGGTTTTCCCATACATATTGTAAATACTTTGTTGTGTTTGTCACCTGTTGATTATGTTGCTGTCAGACCCAATGTGTCAGTGTTTTTGGACAGAGACCTAGTGTATGAAAGTTTCCTGGGCGAACCCAGTGTGTGGTTGTTCTATGATGAGCCCAGTGTATGGATGTTCTAGGGGGAACCCACTTTGTGGTTGTTCTAGGGTGAACCCAGTGTGTGGATGTTCTAGGGTGACCCAGTGTGTGGATGTTCTAGGGTGAACCCAGTGTGTGGATGTTCTAGGGTGAACCCAGTGTGTAGTTGTTCTATGGTGAACCCAGTGTGTGGTTGTTCTAGGGTGAACCCAGTGTGTGGTTGTTCTAGGGTGAACCCAGTGTTTGGATGTTCTAGGGTGAACCCAGTGTGTGGTTGTTCTAGGGTGAACCCAGTGTGTGGTTGTTCTAGCGTGAACCCAGTGTGTGGATGTTCAATGATGAGCCCAGTGTATGGATGTTCTAGGGGGAACCCACTTTGTGGTTGTTCTAGGGCGAACCCAGTGTGTGGATGTTCTAGGGTGACCCAGTGTGTGGATGTTCTAGGGTGAACCCAGTGTGTGGATGTTCTAGGGTGAACCCAGTGTGTGGTTGTTCTAGGGTGAACCCAGTGTGTGGATGTTCTAGGGTGAACCCAGTGTGTGGATGTTCTAGGGTGAACCCAGTGTGTGGTTGTTCTAGGGTGAACCCAGTGTGTGGTTGTTCTAGTGTGAACCCAGTGTGTGGATGTTCAATGATGAGCCCAGTGTATGGATGTTCTAGGGGGAACCCACTTTGTGGTTGTTCTAGGGCGAACCCAGTGTGTGGATGTTCTAGGGTGACCCAGTGTGTGGATGTTCTAGGGTGAACCCAGTGTGTGGATGTTCTAGGGTGAACCCAGTGTGTGGTTGTTCTATGGTGAACCCAGTGTGTGGTTGTTCTAGGGTGAACCCAGTGTGTGGTTGTTCTAGCATGAACCCAGTGTGTGGATGTTCTAGGGTGAACCCAGTGTGTGGTTGTTCTAGGGTGAACCCAGTGTGTGGTTGTTCTAGCGTGAACCCAGTGTGTGGATGTTCAAGGATGAGCCCAGTGTATGGATGTTCTAGGGGGAACCCACTTTGTGGTTGTTCTAGGGCGAACCCAGTGTGTGGATGTTCTAGGGTGAACCCAGTGTGTGGTTGTTCTAGGGTGACCCAGTGTGTGGATGTTCTAGGGTGAACCCAGTGTGTGGATGTTCTAGGGTGACCCAGTATGTGGATGTTCTAGGGTGAACCCATTGTGTGGATGTTCTAGGGTGAACCCAGTGTGTGGATGTTCTATGATGAGCCCAGTGTATGGATGTTCTAGGGGGAACCCACTTTGTGGTTGTTCTAGGGCGAACCCAGTGTGTGGATGTTCTAGGGTGAACCCAGTGTGTGGTTGTTCTAGGGTGACCCAGTGTGTGGATGTTCTAGGGTGAACCCAGTGTGTGGATGTTCTAGGGTGAACCCAGTCTGTGGATGTTCTAGGATAAACCCAGTGTGTGGATGTTCTAGGGGGAACCCAGTGTTTGGTTGTTCTAGGGTGAACCCAGTGTGTGGATGTTCTAGGGTGACCCAGTGTGTGGATGTTCTAGGGTGAACCCAGTGTGTGGATGTTCTAGGATGAACCCAGTGTGTGTGGATGTTCTAGGGTGAACCCAGTGTGTGGTTGTTCTAGGGTGAACCCAGTGTGTGGATGTTCTAGGATGAACCCAGTGTGTGGATGTTCTACGATGAACCCAGTGTGTGTGGATGTTCTAGGGTGAACCCAGTGTGTGGATGTTCTAGGGTGAACCCAGTGTGTGGATGTTCTAGGGTGACCCAGTGTGTGGATGTTCTAGGGTGAACCCAGTGTGTGGTTGTTCTAGGGTGAACCCAGTGTGTGGATGTTCTAGGGTGAACCCAGTGTGTGGATGTTCTAGGGTGAACCCAGTGTGTGGATGTTCTAGGGTGAACCTAGTGTGTGGATGTTCTAGGGTGAACCCAGTGTGTGGATGTTCTAGGGTGACCCAGTGTGTGGATGTTCTAGGGTGAACCCAGTGTGTGGTTGTTCTAGGATGAACCCAGTGTGTGGATGTTCTAAGACAGAGACCCCATGTATGGATTGTTCTTGGACAGGAATCCAACACGAATGTGTTTTAGA